CCTAACAATCATAAGCCCAATTGACTTATTCTTTTTTTCTAGCCGTTAGAGTATTTTTTGCTTTTCATTTTAGATGATGCCTATGCTATTAATAGGATAACATCCTTCCTTTGTAATTTCAGCTTTTCAGAATTAATATTTTTCTCTTTTTGTCTTTATGATTCTGTTGCACCACGTGTTAACATGGTATCAGATCCTGGTTCATGTTGTTGATCAGCAGTAAAGCAAAAAATTTCTGGAGCAACTTCATGTTGGTCGGATGCATATGTGTCTGCTTGAGTGTCCTCCTGTGAAGTATGAGCAAGATTGGTCTTCTTGAGATATGGTGGTAGGCCATGCTTCTTGAAGCACACCTCAATATTGTGATTGGGTTTGTTGCAATAAGTGCATATTTTGATGCCTTTAGATTTGGGTGGAATAAAGGGTTTGTTGCCATATTTTAGGGATCGACCTCTCATGTAGGGTTTCTGGACTTGAGCTATAAGTTTGTCTTCTGGTATAGGGGAATAAAGTTGGTGTTCTTGTTGAATGGGTAGGGAGAAGACTCTGTTGACATTGGGAAGAGGGGACATGAGCATAATTTGAATCCTCACCACCATGTATTGGTCATTGAGACCTTTCAAGAAGCGAATAACATAGTTGTTTTCTCTGTAAGTTTTGACAATGGGAAGGAGGTCGCAATGGCACACGGGATCACAAATGCAGGTCGAAAGCCATAACTTCTTCAAGGTGGTGAAATACTAATTGATGTTTTGATTTCTTTTCTTCTGAGCATAGATTTCTTTTTGGAGATCAAAAGTGCAAAAAATGTCGCCTTGATGATATCGCTCATGAAGTTCATCCCATATATCTTTTGCCGACTCCATCCAAAGCACACTCTTGGAGATATCTTTATCGATGAAATTCGTTATCTAAGCCATCACCATGTTGTTGCAGCAACACCATAGCACGTAGTTAGAGTGATTTGGGGACAGACGAGTTAGGGTTCCGTCGATGAACCCTAATTTGTTCTTCGACACGAGGGAAAGTTTCAAAAAACGTGACCAAGAATGAAAGTTGGTGTTGTTTAACGACAATGTAACAATGGCTAGGCCGAGATTGTCACTTGGATGCATAAAGAAAGGGTCAAGCATATCTTGTTGGTAAGAGTGAGTGGTGGTTTTGAATACATTCTAGGATTCAGAGACATATTTGGTGGGTGAAGAAGGTGGTTCACTAGAGGTATCAACCATGACGGAAAATATGAAGAAGAAAGAAACGCAAGGAAACGGTGGAACGAACAAGAAACAAAGATGAAAGGGGGAAAAGTGGTGAAGACGAAGGGAGAAGAAAAAAGATAAATAAAAGAAACGTAAAGAAAAAGCGTAAAAAGAAAGAGACATATGCGTATTGGATAGAAAAAAATCCAAAAGAGGAACAAGTGAGAAACACGTGAACATGCCAATGCAAAACAGATAAAGGAAAGAAAAAATTAGAGCAATCTCAGTGCTCTTGATACCGTGTTAACACGTGGCGCAGCAAAAACATAAAGACAAAAGAAAAAATTATCAATTCTAAAAAGTTGAAATTACAGAGGAAAGATGTTATCCTATTAATAGGCATATGCAACATTTAATCTGAAAAGCAAAAAATACTTTAATGACTAGAAAAAAAGAATAAGTCAGTTGGGCTTATGATTGTTGGGCTTATATATTTAAACAAATGACTTTCCCAATACGTGAGCCATATTTTTTAATATCTAGGAACATATAATCTTTAGAGAGATATTAATCTTCCAAAAGTGAGACCCAAAGTTTCTTGTTTGATTGCACTAAGTTTTAAACAAGATTTCCTGACAAATTAGCGTTTTTCAACTAGGACGGATGAGTCCTTATACCAACTAAATTTCTAGGTTTAATAGTAGTGTTTCAACTAACCATATGCATTAATCGACTCGTCTTAGCATGCTAAACAAAATTCCTCACAACTTTATCCAAAGACCTAACAAATATATTGAGTTAACCAATAAATCTGTATATTATAATTATGTAAAGAAGTAAGAATGACCTTGGCAATAGTGATACACCCTAACTTGTTCAAGAGTCTACCTTTTCAATAATAAATTTTAGAAGCTATCTTATCATAAATTTCTAAGAAATCATCTTCATTTTTGCGTCCCTATTTTATTTTGAATCCCAAGTATTTTTTATAACCGATCAAAAAATATGATACGTAAGAGATGCTCAAGATCATGTTTAGTGCTCGATGTAACCTTTAGAAGTGTAAGAACTTAACTTATCTACCCTCACTTTGAAAACTGAAAAAAGAAAAAACATTATCAAAAAGGTTAGAAATTAACTATGCTTGAGACGATTTGGCCTTTACAAACAGTAACACGTCATCTGCAAAGAACAAATGAAATGTTTTAGAAGTTTCCAATGACCCTCGTGAATTGACTTATAAATAAAATCACCAAGTTTTTCATGTTTGAAAAGTGTCATGAATAAATGTCAATTTTTCTGAAAGTTTTGAATTTTTGTTGAAAAATTACTCCCAAAAAATGCACGGAATCACCAAAAATAGGTTGACTACAAAAGGTCAGAGATCAAATGGTATGAAAAAAGTTTTGTTTTCTTTAAATGCTTCATTCATAATTGATGCCTGACTTTCTGTGAAAAATATCATGATTATGAATTATTTGCTTCTTTCAAAGTTTTATTTTTCTAGTGTCTAGAGGAAATACATCAAAATAAGCCAAGAATCATAAAGTCTACCCAAGTGACAAGTGTGCAACCTCGTGTTTTCCTTAATAATGAGAGTAAACATGAATAATAACTAAGTATACTTCACATAAAGTAATATGTATTTTTCAAACTAATCAATTTTTAAATAAAAAAATTTTCAACACAAAGGAGGAGTCATTCTAATTGACAACAATATACAATACATAAAAGAAAATATTAATTCAATTGACGACAATATGCAAACACATAAGAGAGAGAATACTATTTCTTCTCTGTATTTGTACACTGTTACCAATTGAATTGACGTCTTTTTTTATATATTGTACCTTGTTGACAATTGAATTCTCCTTTGTGTTAATTTGAAAAATGCATGAAAAAATAAATAAATTTAAATATTTATTTAAAAGATTGAATTATTTGAGTTATCTTATCACCCCGTGAGATAATATTGTAATTATTTTTATATATCAAATCATAGAAAAATTTTATATAAAAAAATGTTAAATATTAAAAAACATAATTAATTTTATCCGCGAAATATAAACGATATTAAAAAGTTATCTTTTATTTATATTTTAAACAATAAATAAAAGTAAAAAACATTTAATATTGTAATAAAAATAATATTAATAATTCTTTAGTATTTAAAAAGTATAATTTAACTTAAGTTTTAAAAAAATGATAAGTAATAAAACGACAGAGACTATATGACTAAAATTTATAAAAATAATGAATGTAATATTGAATTCCAGATTTTTAAAATTTAATCTCACCAGTCAATTGAATTTTCTCTCCTTTCAACCCTCATTAAAAAAATGTAACTCCATTTAATCTCACCAATCAATCAATTAATTAAAATTTAAAAAAATAATTGGAAGTTGTACCACATTTTTAACTGTAGTGACCGTTACTCTTCCAAAACCCCAATCGTGCTTCCACGCTTATGTATGGACGGTTTTGAAAATATCCTCTAAATTAAATCATTAACGCTAGTGGCTGTAAAAGTAGTTATGTCCCCACCTCTCACGCGCCTATATACCGCGTTTGTATAACACTCGCTTAATCTTTTCTTCAGATTTCAAAACCAAAAAAAAAACAAACAAAAAAAAAACAGGTATTTATTTTTTTATATTTTTCCCACCTGGAAGAAAGTCAAATTAAAATGAAAAAAAAATATAAATAAAAACTGCACCATCGTAGAAATTGACAGAGAAGAAAATGATCGTGTGAAGAAGAAACTTGATAAGAAAAAGAAAGCTACGACTCTTTCATTCACATTGTGAAATTGTTAGGTACTGTAACTTTCTTTTTCAGATCGTTGCTCGTGAATTCAACTTGTTTTTGTTTTCTCAACTGTTTTATTTATTATTTACTGCTATAATTATGATTATGATTTTTCTTTTATTATTCTTCTTTATGATTCTCGGTGTGTCGGTGATGTTTGATTCTCTATCTTGTTTTCGGTGTACAAAAGTCTAAGCTTGAACCTATTCTGATTTTTGAGTTTCAAAAGATCCAGTTGAGTTTTCTATGAAGAACGCGTTTGATTCTTCGTAATTGTGATATGAATTTTGTTATGGCGTAGTGAGAACTTAGAGAAGAAGCGTGAATAGTGAAAGCTGAAAAAAAGTGATTCCTGTTTGTTAGAGTACTGTGTTTTGAATTTTTAAAAAATGATTATTATGAAAAATGTGAAAAATTGTTACTTTATTCTCAAGCATGATTTGTGGAGGTTGGCTGATATAAAAAGTTTTCTATTCTTAAATTTGATGAGTTCTGGCCCCATTGATTTTCGCTTTTTATTATTCTAGTCTTTTGATGAAGCTTGGTATCAAAGAATGGCTTTTATTTTAAGTAGATTAAAAATATTATTTGATTTTGATATAATCTCTCTCTTAAAACAGAAGTCTTGATTTTGGTCATGATAATATTTGCCAACTAACTAATAATAAAAACGTAATTAGTTAGCATTCTGATTTGTTTTGGTCTTTCTAAAGTTAGCTAGCTTGTTGATGATATTGCCTGTTATTTTTTAACAACCGCAATTAATGGGTTTCTAACTTCATCGTTTGGTCATTTCATCATTTTGATAATGAATGTATCTTCTTTTTCATCTAGTTATTTTCTTTTAAATGCCTTGCATTTTAGAGAAAGGAAGAATCACTTTAATAATGACACGGGTCACTTTTTCTCTTTTAGGGAAGATGGTGTTGTTTGAAATGGGTTTAGGTTGTTAATTGAGGTGGGAAGAGAATTGGGGTTTGGAAGTGTGAGAAAATGGGAGCTATTGCGGGGGAAGAGTTGTCGAAATGGGAGAAGATACAAGGAGGGATGAGTGGTTGTGAAGAGAAGATCCTTGTCTTACTGAGGCTTAGGCCTTTGAGTGAGAAGGAAATTTCTGGGAATGAATCTGCAGATTGGGAATGTATTAATGATACTACGATCTTGTATCGGAACACGCTGCGCGAGGGTTCTACATTTCCAAGTGCTTACACATTTGGTAAGAAAATGTCTTATTTTAAATCTTAGTTTTGCTTTTTCAGTTGTTTTAGATTCTCCATTGATTGGAAACTTGACCGCAACATCGGTTGGATTTTAGGTTACCAGGCTCATTTCCTTAAAAATAGGAGGATTTGACCAGAAAAATCAACTTCATTTAACTCTCTCCTTAGATGCACTCTTTTCCTAATTTATCTAGTTTTATTTTTTGAAAACACTTAATTTTGATATGAACATTTGTTGAATTCTTATTGCTTGTTGGCTAAATCAATTTACTTAGTCTGAACATGTCAATTGTCAAACATATTTGTCTCTGTCTTTTCTGAACTTGGATACTTGTTTAGATCTTAGTTTATTACAAGTATATATTTTTTTAATCATTTGAATGTTTTTTTTTTGGTTAATTTAATCCATAAAATTACTAATATTAGAAACACTATAGGTGTATTTGCAATTTCAATAGATTCAGAGACTAAACTGACCTCACTCATTCATGGGATAAAAGTAAAAATGATAAAAGTAAAAATGCTATTTGATCTTTATTATTTCAAACAACATTTTACATAGTTCTATAAAATGATAATGTTTCAAAGTATTTTATACTGTGACAAATAAGATTGGTGATAGTTTATCAAAAACAGGGTGTTTCTGATTTTTTGTTGTGATTGGTGATAGACAGAGTATTTCGGGGTGACTGTGCTACACGGCAGGTATATGAGGAAGGAGCCAGAGAAATTGCTCTTTCAGTTGTTGGTGGAATTAACTGTGAGTATAAATTTTAGGTTTAATATCCTTTTTCTCTTGTATCTTAACATCAGCTTCATTTTAGTCCCTTAACTTATTAGTCCTTTTTGTCTAATTAGCGATGAATTTAGCGGCCAATTTCTGAATTTTTCTGTTGCTAATTAGACGAAAAAGACTAACATGACATTTTGAAAAGTTAGAGACTATTATGGACTTTTTTTTTAAGTTAAGAGACAAAAATGAACCCGAGATTAACATACGAGACCAAAAAGATATTAAGCCTAAATTTACCATTCCTGCTAGTTTCTCTTCATGCACCTTCCACTTTTTTATTTACACAGGTGTTTATTCATTATTTCAGCAAGTATTTTTGCATATGGGCAAACAAGCAGTGGAAAGACGTACACTATGGTTGGAATAACTGAATATGCTGTAGCAGATATTTTTGACTACATAAAAAGGGTATTTAAACTATTATATTTATTTATAACTTATAGTATGCCTGTTAAACTCAAACTCTGGTGTCATTTTCACTAGAATTCTTGTTTTTAACATAACATAGTGCTATTGACACAAGGTTACTACTTTGACTTGTTTAGCATGAAGAAAGAGCCTTTGCATTGAAATTCTCAGCAATTGAAATTTACAATGAAATTGTTAGAGACCTCCTCAGCACCGATAACACTCCACTTAGGCTACGTGATGATCCTGAGGTGAATGCCTTTAATATGTGTATTGGATAGTTAGATATAATAAATACAAGTTTGATACAAAAGGTTGCATAATTAAGGGTTATTTCATGATATTTTCCGTTTTCTTCAGAAAGGACCCGTTTTAGAGAAACTTACAGAAGAGACTCTACGGGACTGGGGGCATTTGAAAGAGCTACTATCCTTTTGTGAAGGTAAAGGAATTTGCATAGCTTTCCTTTTATATGGTTGTCAGTAGTCAGCAACACCATTGTTCTGCAATACACTATTTAGTACGAAATATTGTCAAGTAGTGGCTATAGCGGTGCTATTGTGTTATGGCATAACCGTGTTTGAACAGATCATTATTTTCTGCATTTGAAAGAGCTACTATCCTTTTGTGAAGGTAAAGGAATTTGCATAGCTTTCCTTTTATATGGTTGTCAGTAGTCAGCAACACCATTGTTCTGCAATACACTATTTAGTACGAAATATTGTCAAGTAGTGGCTATAGCGGTGCTATTGTGTTATGGCATAACCGTGTTTGAACAGATCATTATTTTCTGCATTCGTGATTGATAATCGTTATTATCTTGTCAACTTTATTCTTGTAGCTCAGAGACAAGTAGGAGAGACATACCTGAATGAAAAGAGTTCAAGATCTCACCAAATTATAAGATTGGTATGTGTCTGCTACAAATATAATGCTTAATGTTTCTTACCATTAGACTTGAGTAGTTCAGTTAATAGAGTGGTTTATGTAAATTTTCAGACGATGGAAAGTTCTGCCAAGGAATTTCTGGGCAAAGGAAACTCAACCACCCTATCAGCTAGTGTAGTAAGTTAATTTCTATAGAATCATCACTTGTTCAGTGGATAAAATGATTATGGATTATTATATCATTATGTAATTTGTTTTTATTGCTCTGCAGAATTTTGTTGATTTGGCAGGGAGTGAGCGTGCATCTCAGGTATCGTCAGCTGGGGTGAGATTGAAAGAAGGTTGTCATATTAACCGGAGTTTACTTACTCTTTCAACCGTCATTCGTAAGCTTAGGTTGTTCACTTCACCATTGGAAGTTTAATTCTTGCTGATCCTTTCTTCAATAAAATTCAACAACAAAAAGTTTGAAGTTCCATTAACATAATGTAATTGAATGAATGCAGTAAGGGAAGACATGGACACATCAATTACAGAGATTCTAAGTTGACACGCATACTACAGCCCTGCTTAGGTGGCAATGCTAGAACAGCTATCATTTGCACTTTGAGCCCTGCACGGAGTCACGTGGAGCAAACTAGAAACACGCTTCTTTTTGCTTGTTGTGCAAAAGAAGTTACCACTAAAGCACAAGTTAATGTAGTGATGTCTGATAAGGCCTTGGTCAAGCAATTGCAAAAAGAGTTGGCCAGGTTGGAAGGAGAGTTAAAAACTCCTGCTACCTCCAATGTTGATTATGTAGCTTTGTTGAGAAAGAAAGATCAACAGATAGAAAAGGTCATAATTTACCGTCTGTATTTCTTATGCTTTTATGTTACTAGTACAGTATTGATTGTTGATCATGTTACATATTCGCTACTCCTTAGATTTTGGTAACATTAGTTTTAATTATTCAGATGGATAAAGAGATTAGGGAGCTAACTAAGCAACGCGATCTTGCTGAATCAAGGATTGAGGATTTGCTTCGCACGGTGGGAAAGGAGCAGATATCTAAGAAAGTAATTTACATTTTATATATGCCTCTAAATTTGTTTACTCGTTTTTGTTCTGCCTAGCATAGTATTAATAATCATATTGATTTGGCAGGAAGAAGAAATATGGGAAGATGACTGTTCAGTGTCAGAGTCATCAAGCATTTGTGGTCCCAATACACGCATTAGAGAGTTCAACAATCCTCACTATAATGGTGGAGACAGTGGAAGTTATCGAGTTGGTAAGTCCTTTAATTTTCACTCCTGTATAGTAAATAAATTGACAAAATCAATGGCCTATTCTTAAGTTGAAAAAATCAGGTCGGTTGTTATACTTTTTTTAGTCTTGCTTGTACAGAAGAAGACCTTGATGAGTACTGCAAAGAAGTTCGGTGCGTCGAGTTGGAGGAGTCAAGTAGAGACAACTCAGAATACCTCGATCCATCGGTAAATGACAACGGGGATTCGGCTTTGACAGTATCTGGAGGGGAAAATGGATCAAGCCATGAACTATCTACACGTTTGAATGAAGACAACCGTGATGAACATGTCATGTCAAGAAACATGTCAAATCATAGAAATCTCAATTTAACTAGAAGCTGGAGTTGTTCGGAGTATCACATGACTGGTTCTCCTGAGACAGGAGAAATGGAGAGGACTCCAGCCAATGGATTTGAAAAAGGATTCCCTGGAAGACCAGATGGTTTGTGGAGAAAGTTCAATCCATTAAATTACAGGAGTTCCACAAGTTTTTCAAGGAACGATTCTCAGTCTTCTATTGGAAGTCAGTCAGTGGATGATGAACTTAGAGGCAACAGCATGGGAATATCTGGCGATGAGGACATTACTAGCATCCATACTTTTGTTGCTGGAATGAAAGAAATGGTTAAACTTGAATATGAAAAGCAGTTTGTTGATGGTCAGGTGAGAATAAATAATTTTTGAGTTATTGATCTTTTAATTTTCTGTCCTATGTAACTGAAATAAATTCATTTTTCATTTTTTCTGAAAGGAATATGTAATAGAAAAGTATCAGACACCAATACTTGTAGGACCTGTTTTTGAGATACAATGTGGCATTGCTCGATATGTCTTCATTCGGGCAGGATACTAATGAGACGCATTGGGAGCATTACACACGTTTTTAGAACTCATCAGATTTTTTTGACGCATTTTTTTGACCACATTCTTTTCTGATTTGTAGGATCAGGAGACAGAAAGAAAACTAGTGAAGTTTGATAGGAATGTGAAAGATGTAGGCGTTGATCCAATGCTTGAGTCACCGGGAACTCCTTTCGATTGGTCTGTGCAGTTTAAGAGACAGCAAAAAGAGATAATTGAACTATGGCAATCTTGCTATGTGCCATTAACCCACAGGACCTACTTCTTTCTTTTGTTCAGGGGTGAACAAACAGACTCCATTTACATGGAGGTAGAGCTCAGAAGACTATGCTTCCTCAAAGAAACATTTTTTGATGAAAACCAGTCTGAGAAAAACAGCCAACCAATCACATTAACCAAAAGGTTCACCCTTTCTGTCACTCCTACATTTATTTGAAACTTATACATTTCGTAGCTTTGTATTAATTACACTTTGATGGCTTGCTACTTGTACATTTCATGTTGACACAGTGTGAAAGCTCTTCGGAGGGAGAGAGAAATGCTTGTGAAACTTATGCAGAAGAGGTTTTCTGAGGAAGAAAGGAAAAGTGTATTCAAAGAATGGGGTATTGGATTGAACTCAAAGCGCAGGAGGATGCAGCTTGCAAACCGTCTATGGGGAAATACTGATATGAACCACGTAATGCAGAGTGCTGCAGTAGTTGCGAGGTTAGTAAGGTTTTCAGAGCAGGGACGAGCCCTCAAGGAGATGTTTGGACTTAGCTTCACACCTCAACTCACACGACGAAGAAACTCATGGAAAAGTACCAGAGCATCTCTTCCATAGTCATTCTTTTTTGTGTGACTCACATGTGTACAGCCTTTAGAGAAAATCTGTGCATCACCAACACTTTAGATGAAAAGAGGTGTGTTGGGTGCTAGTCTCCTGTCACTTTCTGATGCAATAGCGATGCATATACATGAAAGTTTATGTTGTGTTTGTGCTTCATATACATGAAAGTTTATGTTGTGTTTGTGCTTCGTATGTTTATGATTAATGTTTGTTCAACCGAGAGAAATGCCTCTCCATTGGTATAGAAAGATGCATTAACCTACCTTTTAGGTGGTTGTATTCTATTGTATTATGGTTTTGTTGTACCTGTTAACAAATTTGACTGTCTTTCTTTCTCCTTCTGTCTTGCTGCAAATTAAAGCTTGTTGTGTTGCTTGCTTAACTGTTATGTAGAATAATGTTTTCTAGCTCCGAACATATGAAAAATTATTGGCTATGCACTTTTGATTACTCTAAATTAGTCATCCTTGTAATTTTGTTTTGGTCTGAGTCTCAATACCTCTTTTATTACTATACGTGGTTACATTAATTTATAACGGGTCATGCTATCGAGTGCTCCAGGGACACTCTTTAAGGATTTTAAATAAAAACAATATTACATTAAATATAAGTTTTTATAAACATACAATTTATTCTTTAAGTAAGTCAATTATTTTAATTTACAATACATTTAATACAAGTATTTTCAAATAAAACATACCTTTTTAATTCTTAAAAGGTATTCCTAGGACATTCGTTTGCATTTCCCTTTTAAATTAACTGGAGTACATCAAGTAATATAGTGTTACTTAAATTAACTCGTTTTAAATTCTTAAAGGTATTTCTAAGACACTCGTTTGCATTTTCCTTTTAAATTAACTGGAGTACATAAAGTAATATAGTGTTATTTAAATTAACTCGTTGCATTTTCCTTTTAAATTAAGTGGAATATAAAGTAATATAGTGTTACTTAAACTAACTCGTCTACAATAAACAAACATAAAGGAATTTCATGACTCATATACATAGGTATAGGTGTAGAATATGGTTTGAATTTTTTTTCCAAATAACCATGATTTTTAAATTATATACTAAAACAACCAATATTTCAAACAATTTACCAAAATATCTATATTTCAAATAAAAAAATATGCAAATAAGAGGATATATCACTATTATTGGCACACGCACTTAAAAATGGTTTTAGGTAGGGGTGACAAAAAGAGTCAGGCTCGTTGAACATGTCTGTTTTGTACGCACTTTAGTGATGAGTGTTAAATTGTTGTGATTTTGAGTGTGAATAATTAACACTCATATGCTTAATTCATTAGTTTTATACTAATAAACCTCAACATTTGTTTATATTTTGTATAGATTATGTTATAGTGTATATATTGCGTTATCGTGTAAATATCATTGAGTTTAATTGTTTTTATGTCATTTTAGTAGGTATTCAAGGAATGATATTTAGTCATTTTCTTATAAAGCATCGGATAAGCTTTCCAACGCTTCCGACTGTGCGTAAAACGAAGTTATAGTTCTTAAGTTATGGTCGAAATAAGAGCTGATTTTTCTATCATGGTCGCTAGCCGAACTGAATGCGAGCGAAAAGCGACTCCTGATTTTTCTATCATGGTCGCTAGCCGAACTGAATGCGAGCGAAAAGCGACTCCGACGCGTGGAAAAATAATATAAAGGCAGAAACTAAGTCTGATATGCTCACCTAGCGAGCTGGAGCTCGCAAAACGACCTCAGAAATTCATTTTTGCAAATAAAGTCACTTTTTCGACATTTTTTAGGTTATGTTTTTGGGATCTTTTAACCCCAACTTCATCACCGACATATTTTTGAGTAGAGAGACTTAGAAGCAACATTAGAGTGTATAACTTGTTGATCCAGAATTGGATTTTCTTCAATCGGCGTTGACAAATTGAGAGATTCTTGTTCATCTTCTTTCTTCTCTTTGTACCCTCTATTGTTGAGATTTTGTATGTAAGTTTATCTTGATTGTATGTATATTTATTGATCAATGTATAAAATGTCTTTTACAAATATTTATCGATGATTATCTTTAATTTCAATATTTATCTTAATGAGTTTGGATTGCTATAGATGTAACACCCTTCTAAACCCCGCATAATAAATATAAATGAATCAGAGTAACTATCATGCATTTCACAAAATGGTGTCGCATAAAATTTCAAAACATCACATAAACCTGTCATGCTTAATAACACTTAAATTAAATTCATGCTTTTCATACACTTTCACATTAACATGTAGCAGCAGAGTTACTTTAATCATAATAGACATAGTGAAAGTCTCATGCTCATCTCATTCATAATCAACACTTAGGCTTAAAAGTCAATACTTCATATAATTCAAAGTAACAATAACATAATAAAGTAGAGTACATAAAGTATCTCTCAAAACATGAAATTGAAACATTCTCCAATGTTACATAATCAGAGTATGACTCGACCCAAAATAAATAGAGACACAAAACAAGTTACTCCAACGGCTACCTCGTGCTAGAAGCAACTCTACTCCTCGGTACCTGAGCGATTTCGTATAAAACATCATTTCAACAAAAGGGTGAGAATTCACATAATTATTGAAATTACAAGATAATATATAATTTTAAGGCATACAAGTATAATCACAATTATTCTCACACTTCAAAATTTCATCAACAAAGTATCACTCAAGTAACCATACCATTCACAAGTATATACACAATCCACAATTTCACCAATTCACATAGATACCCATAATCTCATAGCACAAACATATACACAATGAGACTCAATGCAAAACTCAATGAAAGACTCAATGCAACTCATGCCATGTGGTACCAACACTTGTTATTATTTTTCGGTTTTTACATTAAACCGAGTCCGTTCCCTAGACCAATAACACACAAAAAGCCCGTTCTCTAAGCTTTCAAACCCCGCTCTAGGTTTGGGACAAGTCACTAGCTCCCACGGAACTAACAATGCTCTTGACATAAATGATGCGTATGCAAATTCAACAACCATATGCAATTAATACCATACACCAATCTTAATATTCACGCATATCCTCAATAATTCATCACACATGAATTACCACACATTTGCACATACAAACACATTTTCAAGAATCATGACATTCTTACTTCAAACATCATCGCCACAATTAGCAAGTAGTCCACAAGTATCAATACAATTCAACCTCAAATCACAAAATACATATTGCCGATTAAATAAAAAATAATTAATTCATCATTAACAATTAAAAATTCGATATTCAAATAATTTCCACTACTCAATTCAATATTCAATAATTATTTAATGTTTAGATAATCAATATTTTAATAAATAACCAATATTTTAAATAATTAATAAATGTTTTAACTAAATATTCAATATTTAATAAATATTTAGTATTTAATAAACAATTAGTATTTTAATAAACATTTTGATTTATAATAATACATACATATACATATATGCTATAGGATTTGGGAAATTAAAATGAGTTACTTCATTTCCTAACAATGTACTACTTCATTTATAATAGAGTAAATAGGCCCTACAGTAACAGATTTGGATTTGAAAAGAAAAACTACTTTATCATATCAATTCTTTCTACTTGTTGTGTGGTGCGCTACAGTAAAAATAAAAGGAAATGATAGTTCACATTTCATTGCCTATTAAATCTATTTTATCGCTACAGGAGGAGAAAGAATGAAAAATTACATTTCATTCTCCATGATTGTTGCTACAGTCCAAGAATTGCATCATGCTTATTATTAATTATCATAGGAAATAATGCTTATTATTAATTACTTCATGCGCTACATGACAGAATGTGGAATAAAAATAAATTTTCATTTCTATACTAATCTATTTACTTTAATATTGAATGAGTCTCTATAGTATATTAATATACAATTTCAAACACAAATAAATTAACACATCTCAAAGATTATTACTAAAACCTAACAATTTCAAGTTCATGGAAAATTTAGGGATTTCAACTTAAACGTGTTTCTACCCATTAAACACTATCAAATAATCCCAATAATTATATAAAAATTCACTCTTACCTTGATTTTTGGTATTCTTGAGCTCTCTTGATTCTTCTTCTTCTTCTCCACTCTATTCTTCTTGCCTCCTTTTCCCCCTTTTTCTTACTAACTTTCTATTCTTATCAATCCTAACAATTGTCTTTAAAGAATTGGGCTTATCACATTTTCTATTCACATCCTCCATTAAGTCCAATTACCAATTCTAACAATTCTATATTATTCTACCAAATAGAATAAGTTAAATAATCAAATTAAATCAATTATTTCAAATAGGTCCAATAAATCAATTTATCCAACCAACTCAAATAATTTAAATAATTTATATAAATCTAATAAATCAATTAATTCATTTAAATCAAATATTTCATATAAATTTAATAAATCAACTAATTCAAATATATCAAGTAAATCAATTAATTCAAATAAATCACATAAATTAGTTAATTCAATTAGGCATAAAATCACACAATTAATCAATTAATTTAATTAAATAAATAATTACTAAAAATTAGGGTGTTACAATAGACATATACGGTTCGAACTCGATCTAAAATGATGAATGTAGACAGTTTAGACACAATGAATTAGGTGGTGTGTTAAATATAATTCATTGTGTAAATAGATTTGATATGATTATATTTAATTTGAATATTTTGGACCTTTTATATTTTGGGCTTTTGTAAACCTAAAATTATAAATAGGGTGCCTTGCTTTGTATTCGACATAACAACATTAGAACTGGATTCACAGTTGCAGTGTTAGCAAGTGAAGGTTCAATAAAATCAGAAATCCCACAGTTATGGGTAACTCAATACTTTCTCATTCTTCTCTTTCTTGTGTGTTCTTCTTTTCTTTTGTTGTTCTTGATAATTACTTGTTATTATCATTACTATCATATTGTGGGTTTGTTCATCAATCTTGAGATCAAGATTGAAGAGAATTC